TGATTAGAGCTTTCGATATATTTACCGCAGTTTCCTCAAAGACATGGATTCATTCATGCCAGGTTTCAATATGATTTAGAATGTCATATTCTTTGTTTTCTTTGGTCTTTAGGTTTTCAATATTCCAGTAGTTAGCATATTTTCCTGTTGCTTTTCCTATTCTGTTCATAATGCACCCTTCTTGCCATTTTTTTTTTTTTCAAACAGATCTCTATTCCTTTCTTTATCTTCCCTTTTTAACTTTTTCTCTTTTTCTCTTTCAACAGGAATCAGATTATCAATTACTGGCAGGTCATGTTGAACTTATATTGGAGTTAGCATTTTCCATTGACGGTCTTTCTGTTTCATCTTCAATGTTGTTATTACCCAATCCATATGCTCATTTTCTGTAGATGTATGCTCCTGCTTCTCATCCAGTTCATTATTCATTATGATTCTGTCCTGCATAGTTCTACATGAATGAGCCCTTACATAAGTAGTCCCATGGTTTATCAGGACATTAGTGGAATCTTACCCAATGACTCATCCAGGGACTTTCCACTATCTCATGTCATTTCTTTTATAATATGCCAAGTCACCAACATGAAATTCATTTTTGGAACTTGGCCTTATGTTGCTGCCTCAATGAAGGTTTTCCAAGCTGCTCTCATGCAGGCAAAATGGTCAGTGATTATGTTGTCAATTTGTCTTTCCTCTAAAGCTGGTAGTTTTTCAATAAAAATGTTCAAGAGTTGAGATGCATGTCCAATTGTCCGTTGATATGATGTAAAACCATGTACATTTATTAGTGCATTCTTTGCAAGAATGACCCAATATAAAGCCATTTCCAAGTCACATTTGCATTCAGCTTGTGTTTTGTAAAAAATCTCTGACAATGTTGTGTTATGTTGTTCCATTACTCCATGGTGATTGTGTTGCAGTATTGAAGACTCTTATTTTCATTGTCTCCACTAATTCTAAAAAATTTGAATTGCAAACTCCCCACCATTATCTGTCAAAAACGTTTTTGTTGGGCCTAAAATGGAAATCCAACATTTGATACCAGAAATTATTTGCTCTGGTTCCTTAGATTTTAAAATTACAGCAGTTAAAAAACTTCTCTAGTAATCTATCATCATATGTAGGATTATGTTCCCTTTAAAAAATTTTTAGGTCAATTCCTACATTGGAAGACTAACTATACTCTGCTACCATGAAATGATTACAAAAGGATTAGACTCTAGTTCATTACTTTTATTCTTCACTTGATAATCCAGAATCATAAGTCTTCAACCCTAACTTAGTCAACAAACCATCACAATACTCTGCAAGTTATTTTTACACTACGTTCGATCTCTATTACCTCTATGAGTCATCCAAGAGTTACTTCCCTTGTTATTGGGTTTTCCCCCTTATGACAATGGTTTGTTAATTTTAACGCTGCCATAATGAAACTGCTCTCTTTTAATTGTCTGAGAGAACCCTTTTTGCCTTCAGGAGTGATTCATTGTGCCTTCTTGGACTAACATTTTCCACACATGAAGTTGAAAAATTATACTGAATCAATTGTTTGGTCTGCAACTAGGCAAGTCTGTTGACCAGTGCTTTTCAACCTTTTTGCTGGAGTGGAACCCCATGGAAACATTCCACTGGCTCGAGGAACCCTTATGCAAAAACAGCATTTAATTAATTATACAAAAAAATGCAATTTGTAATAAAATGAAAATATTCATGTTCAGAGTATTGTAAATGAAATGAAAACAAAAGTGTACATGTTTGAATAGATTACATTTATTCTTATGAAAAAACACACTTGAGCGAAGTTCATCTTCCACAGACCGCATCTTCCACAGAGCTCGTTTCTTGTGCTTGATGGTTGTCAGAGCTGAAAATCCAAATTCACACAAGTAGGAGGTTGAAAATTGCACAAGAAGTCGTAGCGCTTTCTGGGCAATTGCAGGATATTCCTTTTCAACCAGCAACCAAAATGCATTCAGGTTAAGTTCAGAATGCTTCAGCTTTAATGTCCTGTCATTTAGAACACTGGCAAGTTCTTCTTCTGTTAATGTGAACTGTTCTTCAGGCGGCTCAAATTCTACAAATGGGTTTCTAATCCAGTCATACTGCTCAACAGATATTGATGGAAAATATTTGTCAAGATTTTATTAACAAAGTGTCCAGATGGTTCAAAATCAGTAGCCTAATTTCTTGACAATTCCTTTTAAAAACACATGGAAACATTTCCAAATTTCCTGCAGCTATGCGTTTCTTCCATATTGTCAATTTCTTCTGAAAAGCATTTATTTTGTCAGTAGAAGACAAGATATTTTTCGTTCCTGCCCTGCATGCTATTGTTCAAGAGGTTTAGTTCATGAAATATATCGGCAAGATATGCTAACCCGAACACCAATGGCCATTACTTAAACATTCTACAAAGTCTTTCAGGTTTTCTTGCAAACAAAAGGTCAATAACTCTTCTCTTAATTCGTAAAAACGAGACAATACTTTCCCCCTTGACAACCATCGTATTTCTGTGTGCTGGATTAAGGTGGAATGTTCTGCTTCTATACCCACACAAAGTTTCTCAAACTGTCAACATTTAAGTGGCCTCATCTTGATGTAATTAACTATTTTAACTACCATATCCAATGCAGATTTTAGTTCAGATCCAAGAGTTTTAGCTACTAGTGCTTCTCTATGAATGAAACAATGAGTATGGATAATATTTGGATTTTGTTTTTGTGCGATTGAGACAAAGCCTTTAAGACATCCTGTCATTGCAGGGCACCATCTGTACAAATACCAGCACAGTTTTTCAAGTTTAATCCACAATACTCTAAATATGAATTCAAAACATCAAATACATCTTGTCCTTTCGTTGTCCCTGGCAATTCTTTTTGAGACACAGGAAGTCTTCTACAATAGCTTCATCATCAATAAATCGAACAAATACAAGGAGTTGTGCTTTACCACTAATGTCCGTACTCTCATCAACTTGAAGTGCAAAAAGTTATGTTTCAGTATTTCTGATTTAAGATTGCATTCAATGTCTCCTGACATGTCTTGAATGCGCCTACTTATTGTGTTGTCAGAAAGTGGAATTTCATTTACTTCTGATACAGCATCCTCTCCAAACATTATCCTCACTATTTCTTGGCATGCAGGTAAAATTACAGTTTCAGCGATGGTATGAGATTTCATTTTTCTTGCAACTATCTCCGCCACAGCATAACTTGCTTCTTGTGCTTTGTCACTCAACTTGAACTTTTTTTTGAAAACATAGAAACCTGCCTTTTATTACATTTCATTTGTCGTTGAAAATATTGTTCATCTTTGCTCGACAACTCTGGATGTTTAGTTACTAAATGTCGTTTCAGTTTGGCTGGTGCCATAGCACTGTTAGCCAGCTTCTCCCCACAAATAATACACAAAGGTGAAGGGCACTCTGGGTTTCCAGTCCAAGTAAATCCCAGAGCTATGTAGTTTTTCACAATATTGACGAACTTTTAGTTGTAGGTTAATTCCACCATTTCTTGATTTCGATGAGGCAGCATTGCTGGTAGTAGTTTCGGCTTCAAAAGAGTGCCTCCAGATCCTGTGTCTCTTCATCCGCATCTGTCTTGCGTTTTTTACAAATCTATCCATGGTTGTAAAATCTGTAAAAGAGTTTCGATGATTTGGAAATTGAAAAAAAAATAACAACAGTTAATCGGCCGTCTGACAGTTTGTGGGTTAATAAAATAGATTTTCGAATTTGAATTTAACATGTTGTTTATTTGTTCGTGTTCTAATTTAGAAATTGCGGAACCCCTGGACTGTACTGGTGGAACCCTAAGGTTCCGCGGAACCCTGGTTGAAAACCACTGCTGTTGACTCTGTCTTGCTAGACAATTTTTCTTGCCAGAATCTATCTTGCACATTTAAAGTCTATTATTTGTGTATGCCTTGTATACTGCTGCTATATCTTGCCTGGTGCTTCTGTTATGTATTTAGAGATTCTTGATAGAATCCAAAGAAGAATTTGTAATGTCACTGATATTTAACTGACTTCCTGGATGTAAGTGCTGTACTAAATTAGTGACATGGTCTCATAATTTTAGAGATGAAATGGCTAGATGTAACTGTATATTCTATGCTAATAGTTTCTTTTCTTGCACTTCTTGCTTATGGAACTCTCTTCCAGAATTCTTGATTTCCTGTCAACTTTGAGCTTCAAAATGATTAATATTGCATTTAAATTTATCTTCTATCTTCTTAATTCTTGTTTTTTTTATTGTTCTCTCTCTTTAATAATTTTTTTTCTCAAATTCTCTCACGCATTAACAACTCCTTGCGACTTAGTGGCTTCTATTGCCTTACTTAAGGTGAAATGATTAAAAGAATATGCAATTAGAGTAATAACTTGAATTTTTCATTTTCAAGGGAGGTAACTCATAATAATGACTTTTTTAAATACTTTACATGTAAGCATTTCTTTGTGGCAGATAAAAGAATTCAGAACATATAAATAGAAGTTTTTTATGCTCCATGAAGCTTTTGCTTAATTTCATCCAAATTCAAAGAGATTAAATTCAAAGTATTTAAACTACCTTTGTCTGATGGTAGTTTATTCATGTAGATATGTATGTATCATAACAGTTAATGCTGTGGAATGCAGAAGTAGTAAGCTGAGTTCAAATCCTAGCCTAGTTGCATTCACTTTACACAAAAGCTTTTGCGAAATGCATGTATCCATTTTGTTTGCTCCCAGCTCTGGATTAAATAGCAGCATAGATTAGCCTCTCTAGCCTTGGGTGACAGAAAATTCTGAATTCCAAACCATGGGATGATCACTCCACTATCTTTCACCAAAAGTTATGGCAGTTAATGTATATTAAAAGAAACAGGAGCTTTGTAGAGCTAAAATCGTATATGACCTGAAGAGACATGGCATTAAAGAAATAATATTTATTCTGCAGAAGTTTCTTCTGCTTTAATGCTGGTTAACATTAAATTAAATCAACTAAATTTAACTTTTACAGATATACAGAGAAGATAATGATCTCCAACCTGAACAAAGAAGATGGACAAGAAGGAATCTGTGCTTTTCTACAAAAGAGACGACCCCATTGGACTCACCACTAACAACAAATTACACCATCTCCAAAATATAATTTTAAAAACTTATAAGAATAACGCTTTGTACAAAACAAAAAAAAACACTTGAAATATTTTGTTTACTTTGTGTTCTTAGCTTTTAAAAACTAGCTCAAATTAAAGTGATTAATTGCAAGCAAATAATTGTAAAGATATGTTTGTGCTTGGTGATGGTTTTTTTTTAATATTAAAAAAAAAATACTTTAATCTGTAATCCATTCTCCGGTAATTTCTCCATTTAATAACAATAAAAAACATATATCTTCAGTTAGGTATGCAGTCTGTGATAACCTGAACAAAACCATAGAAGAGAAATGTCTTTTTAGAATCAGTTTTATTCTCTGTAAATTTTAACTTTAATATTTTTTTTCCATGGAATTGATGATTTCCTATAAAAAACAATATTTTAAAATGTGTAATGTTAAAGAGAAATGATTGAAGAGATTCAAATAGATTCATTCCGTAAATGTTTTTAACAAAATTTATTTAATGACCGATAAAAAAAATCTTTAAAATAAACTGCATCTTCAATTCATACCTGAGATTATCTGTATAGTAATTAATAAAATTTAAAAGTGCTTTCTGAATACTTCCTCTTAGTAAAATACTCCACCTTAAAAACCATCAAATCCAGTTATGAATTTTAATAAATAAAAATAATAATAAAATTAGTTTTTCTCAATTTACATTTGCCAATTGTAAATAAGTTGACTGCACAAAGTTTGAGCCATTTGCTGCAGATTTATTCCATTTGGGATTCAATCAATTCTGGGAGAAAAAACACCAATTGTAAGTGAAATAAATAAAATTACCAGATGCATGTGAATCATGGAAATAATTTTTTTAGTTAGGAAGAAAATTAAAAATTAGTTTTTCAAGTGGTTGTTTTGTACATTTTATTCTCATAAAAAAGAGATAGTATTTCATATACCAAATAGTGAATTTTATATATATGGTTTGAATTCTTCTTGTAACCCTTGAAATAGATTATAAAACTCCCTAGGTATTCTGGTGAGGATATAAAGAAGAATATGTGAAAGCCAGATTGTAGAAAGTTTCCATAAATCTAGAGAATAGAAAATATTTATGACAAATTCTAACAAAACATGTTCATTAATATAAGTAGTATTGAATAGGACTGGGTGCCAAAGTGTCTTCTTGAATTAGTGTTTCTGCGATCTTGATTTGCCAGGCAACATTATTAAAATCTGGGAATCACACAATACAGTTTATATTTCATGATTTTGGAAGTTTTAAAAGTGTTTCTTCAGTATGATAATTATCCCCAAAATATTAGCATTTATGTTAAATATTTTCAAATGTTTTCCTTCATCAGATCAATGGATAAAAAATGTAAATTTTTTTAAAGAAAGATTTAAGCCTGAAAAAAAATTCTTTATAAACAAAATGAATGTAAATTAAAATAAATAAAATTTAATAAAGAGTATCAAAATCTTTTTTCAGCACAGTGTCTGTATTTCTAGCAATTATAGTTGATGTTGTTGCTAATAATTATTAATTGCATAAGTGGAAAGATTGCAGTTGTACTTTTGTGGTCTCTATCCTGAGTATGATGAATGATATGATGAACAGTAAAAGTTGTGTATAGCTGTAAATTTTTGGCTTAAATTTCTGTTTTGATTGTGATATTTTTGAATGGTCATTATCTGCCTAAATGTTGTAATGTTGCTGTGGAGAAAGTTACAACATATTATGCATATGTAACTGATTATTAATTTATTAATATACAAATGCAAATTTGCATCATCATAATATTTATCTTTTAAATCTGTAAATATAATATGTCAAGTCTATTTTTTGTCTGTAACTTTTCTTGTACTAGAACTATCTCTTTTACACTAACAATGACAGGTGGCAGTGTCCATTTTATGAAAATTGTGGACTATCGGGAAGTTTATGAAACCAGGAAATAAACCCGATTATGAAAAATAGAGTAGACTAATAACTTAAAAAATAACCTTCTATAGCAAGAACTTGAACAAATATTCTCATTTTTTAATGTCCTGAATAAACCTATATGCAAATATACAAAAATATTTGCCTTTAACACCCAGGTTGTGAAATTTTGTAAGAGAGCTCTGATATGGTATATGATTCATAGATACATGACTTGAAGGTTGTCACCAAAGAAAATTTTACAAAAAATCTTCTTTTTTTTTTTTATTTCAAATAATTGTAACTACAAAATTGTTGTTAAATTGCCCTCAGGAAGACTGCTGAATGGACCATGTGAAACATTCTGGAAATCAAAATTCATTGAAAGTAATTGTTAATAATGAATATTTTTGGAAGGAAAAAAGTGTCCAGGAAAATTTTTAAAAATATGAAATTACACTATAAAAAAAGAAAATCACTTCTCAGTCATGATTATTGTTAATAAGTACAGAAAGGGAACAATCAAGATCAACATTTGCAGATTATTACAAATCATCACTCAGAAATTTTGATCTGTGGAATTCATTTTTATTCTTTCTTTTTCTTAAATAATAAACATTTTTTACTTTCTAAACTTGAAGATTTCACATTTGTAATTTAAATCAATAAAATTTTATTTAATAATTTTCTTTGCCTTAGCAATCATTTTGGATCAGTTTCATTCAGAAAATATTCATATATAATTTTGTGTATGACTTGGCAGTATGAAATCTCTTTGAGAACAAAGCAGGTTTGCCATTCATTTTCTTTTAGCTATTCTGTTCCAATCATGTATTTAAGTTACTACAGCATGGATATAATAATGCCCATAATGGGGGTAAATTCAAACAGGAAATCTTCCTTTCTTACATTAACTGGTGATCCTGACATGAAAGATAATGAAACATTAACTAACAAAATTAAACAAAATATTAACTAGCAACTTTCCGGATGTGTCAATTAATGAAATACACTTTTAACACACAATTTCTAGCATGGAAAATGTTGGAACAGAAAAGACTATTATTGTCACTGAAAATTTCAGCAACCCTGTTCTCATATTATTTCATGCTAATTGCCATTTCTTGGCACTCTCTCAGTCAAACTAGTAATTTTTATTTGTGGATCTTCATCCATGTGTTCATTGAGAGGTCATATTTATTCTCTGCTGGTTGATTGTGGCCTCTCCTATTTTACTCAGATAATTATAGCAGAGTTAAACATATCATTTTCTAGACAACATGTTTTACTTGTTTTTTTGTTTTTTTACACTATTTTTAATATATTTCCCAATATGGTCACCCTCTTCCCCACCTCCAAACTGAGTTTTAATTTTGGTGCACTTCAAAGGAGACCATGCTGCCTCGTAACCCACTAGTACATCTACTCTTTACACTGTGCTGTATAATGTGGTAGTAAGCTCCATACCTTCAAACTATTTGGGATATCTATTTAGTAGCAGGAGACAAAGGCACAGCAGCTATATGCATAAATTTGGTGATATTATTTTTTTTTTTTTTTTTTAACATGTATTCACCATGTCCTTGCATATTATTTTATTTTTCCTCTACTTTCTGGATACTACATGGCTAAATGGGAATACACTACACTATCTCCAGTAACACCATATTTATGTAGTCGAACTGTGACCAGGTTTGTGTGTTATATTAGTTGGCTCCAGCATTTCTTATCTTAATTTGTTTTCTCTTTTTGCAGTACATTCTTTTTATAGGAAGTCTTACATTACACCAATATAAAAATAGGTTTTTGTGGTGTTGAATAGACATTGTTCAAACATTATAGTTCTATTTAATGTACATTGTATGTGATTTAATGGAATAACCTGTCACCCCCATGAGTGACTACACTATAGGTAGTAACTATAAGTATCTGTAAGTCTAGACCACAGAGTCTAGCTGCGACCTGTTCCAGCTAAATAGTCAAACTCTCTGCCTTCGGGCAGAGAGGAACCTGGACGAGGCTCCGCCAAAGGGCAGAGTCTTGTTCAGGGAGGTAGACTGACCCTGAACCTGTTTATATGGGTTCAAAAAGGGAATATTTTTGGCCGAGCCTATGTGCTCGGAGAAGCCACGTTAAACTGACCTTGTGCCACATGCAACCCTCACGAGGGTGGAGGTAGGTAAATATTCTAGCTGGGATCTGTTCCAGCTAGACAGTCGAACTCTCAGTCTTCGGGAAGAAAGGAACCCGAATGAAGCTCCGCCAAAGGGCAGAGTTTTGTTCAGGGAGGTAGACTGCCACTGAACCAATTTATATGCGTTCGAAAGGGAATATTTTTGGCCTAGCCTACAGGCTCAGAGAACCCACGTTAAACCAGCCTTGTGCCATATGCAACCCGGGTGGGGTAGCTAAACATATATATACTAGCTGGGATCTGTTGGTATACACTTCGGGCCACTGACATGTGCAAGGTGTTTCAGTGGCATTTTGAGAGCCGGTTTAACAAGGAGCCTGGTCTCCATGACAAGGAGTTTCTTAGATATTTGGCTGGCTGATGCGGGGGAGAGATCATGGAAGGCGAAGTCTACGCAGCATTGAAGAAGGTTTGACAGAGGCAAATCACCCAGTCTCTATGGTTTGCCCTATGAATTGTACTTGAGGCTGTCGCACATCTTTCCAATTTTGACTGCCGTGTTCAACAACTGGTTCTGGTAATGGTTCGTCCCTGACCAGTTCACTAGGGGTGTGATCACACTTTTGAAAAAAGACAAGTGTCTTGGGCGTGAAAGGCAGGGGCAAGGCATGTGCCACTTACGTCTTTCCTATTGTCCTTTATCGCTTGTCTGTACTTCCTCTCTGTAAAGATCATAAGAAGGCACTTGAGCACTTGCTATCCTCAATTTTATGGAGGAGACGTAAGCATCAGGTCGACAGAGAAGTCTGTGCACGACGCCCGTGTCATGGGGGACTGGCAATGCAATACTTGGTGATTCACAAGATCGCCTCAAGGTTGGCTTTCCTACGCTGCTCATTAACAGGAGATTCGAT